CCTTTCTCTATTGTAAAAACCTCCGACAAACCTCCATTAACAATAAGTTGTGCCGTTTGTTTTTGATATATTACCGTAAGAGCTTGTATTATCTTTTCACCAAAATTCATTTCTTCCATTACTCTTAACATAAAATGCCAATTCAATTGATCAAATGCTTTTTCAGCATCTAAAAATATGAGCCCTGCAGAGACTTGGTTGTTCTTGTCTAAATATTCTAGTAAGTTAATAATTTGTCTGACATTGTTTTTCATATACCTTCCTGTTATAAACCCTGATTGATCTTTATGCACAAGATGATGCACCACCCTCATGAGCCTATTTACCAAAATTTTTACAAATATCTTATAATCCACGTTTAAAAGAGATATAGGCCTATAATTTTTTGGTAAAGTAAGATCTTGGTCCTCCTTCGGAATCAATGATATAAAAGCACTACGCCATGAAGGAGGAATCTCTAAACCCTGTAAAATACCGTTAAAAAGATCATTTAATGGTTGGATCATCTCCTCCATTAAGGCTTTATAGTAAACAGCTGTTAACCCATCCGTACCCGGTGCTTTCCCTAATTTCAATTGTTGAATTGCTGAGGCAATTTCCTCCTTGGTAATTAAACCATTAATTTCATATTTCTGATCCTCAGTCAGTTTAGGAAAACTTGCCTCAGCTAAATATTTATTTATATCTAACAATTGTACATTAGTAGATTTATATAGGTTTTGATAATAATCCAAAAAAGATTTTTTAATTAATTCCTTCTGAGAAACTAGTTTACCCTTATAATTTATTTTCTCTATTATTCTCTGTCTCTGTTTCTTTCTTAATTGATAAGCCAACCATCTCCCCGGCTTATTAGCATTACAAAAAGTGTTTTGTTTCATAAATAATAAGTTGGTTGCAGCTTGATCTGCTATCAACATATTAAATTGTGACCTTAATAACTTTACAGATTCTTTAGTACTTTCATCAGAAGGATTTAGAATCAAAGCCCTTTCTTTTAGTTTAATTTCATCTTCAAGTTCTCTACGTTTCTGAATCTGATTTCGCTTATAAAAATTATTCATTTTTATCAAAACACCGCGCATAAATGCTTTACCTGCATCCCATACCATTGACATTGAAGTCCCCTTGTACATATTCAAAGCAAAATAGTCCTTTAAACACTCCTTTAGTTTTTGAACATTCTTCTCTTGTCTAAACAAATTTTCATTAACTCTCCAGGATCTTCTTTCCTCTTTCTCTTGAATCAGCTCCATCCAAACTGGACTATGATCCGTCAGTAATCTAGGAAAGATCTTTACATTCTTTACTTTATTATACAAATCCGTGGTAATTAAGAAAAAGTCAATTCTTGAAAAAGATTGGTGTCTGTCAGAAAAAAAAGTAAAGTCTCTCTCCTCTTGATTACGTTCCCGCCAATAGTCCCTTAATTCCCAGTCTTCTTTCATATCAAAAAAGGCTTTAGGTAGCCTTGCTTGTTTAAGAAAAGGAGAGGAACCTTTCTTATCCCTTTGTGTATCTAAGACACCATTCCAATCACCCATTAATACCACTGATCTATAATCAAGCAAAGTTATTTTTTGGTGTAACTGTTTATAAAATTGTTCCTGTTGTTGATTTGGAGCATAAAGTCCAACTATAAGTACTTTCTTACCATAAATACCAAGTTCAATCATCACATATCTCCCCTGGGGATCTGATTCTACCAGACAAGCTGGCAGGTTTTGTTTAACATATATAACAACTCCCCCTTTCTTCCCAGGTGCAGGAGATATAAAATGAGATCCCAAACGAGCATTAACTAAATATTTCTGATCTTTAAGTAAAATATGAGTTTCCTGTAAACAAATAACATCATTGGTATGTTGCTTCAAATAGTAAAAGATTTTTTTCCGTTTCTGAGGAGAATTCAACCCATTAACATTCCAGGTCAAAAACTTTGCCATCTCCCTTGGCACGCAGCCTGGAGAAGACACCATCAAACTCTGACAGAGCTGCATGTGTTGCATAACTCTTGGGTCTTGCTCCTCCCACCGGCGGTGATGCACTTCCAGGAGAATTCTCTTTAAGCTCTTTTTTACGTTGCTCCTTCTCTTTACGCTTATAGGCTGCACGAGTCATCCTCTGCTCTTTAGCCTCTGTTTGGCGTTGCTTTGCCACTTCAATCATCCCTGCGGAAACCAAATCTAGTGCCTCAGATTGCTGCTCAGCTTCCTTACCACTCAAAGATTTCCGACCAGATGAAGTTGAGCCTGCACTCAGGACCGAAGTATAAAAATCTCTAGCTTTGTCAACTGTATTCAATCTATAACGTGTCCCAGCATGGCTCAAAACGATACCCATCGGAATTTCCCATCTGAACGGCATCGATCTAGCTTTAAGCTCATTGGTTAAAAAAGCAAAGTCTTTCCTACTTCTTAAAATTTTGGATGGGATTTCCTTTAGAATGATGACATCTTGGGCGGCAATCTGAAATCTTTTGTTGTAAAAAGCTTGTATAATCTCATTCCGCAGGGACTTCTTTGTAAAGTAAATCACCACATCTCTGGGCAAATTCTTCTGCTTAGCAATCCAGGAGTTGAGTCTATAAATTTTTTCCACTTCTCTCTGTAATTCTCCTTTATCCATATCCAAAGCCAGCGCCAAATCATTAAGAACCACCTCCATCAAATCTTGATTCATATCTTCCTTTAGGCCTCTAATCCTCAGGGCATACTCCATCTGTCTGTATTGAAACATCAAAATATCTTCTTGTGAGGAGTCCACCTTCCTTTCCACGTCTTGAATTTTGTCATCCAAAGAGTCAACTTTGTCTTCCACTTCCTCCAGCCTTGCATCGAGCTTAACCACCACAGTAGCCAAACCTGAGACAGCTGCCAGTATATCTTGTCGTAATTCATTATTATTTTCTTGCAATTTGGACTTTATCCCCGTTATCTCTTCTTTGAGATCAGATTTGATTTCTGATTTAATCTGTGAAACAAATTGAGTCATCTCCTCTCTCATTTGAACTACAATCTCTCCCATTATGCCTCTAACCTCTTGTGCTGAAAGTCCAGGTAGAGGAGGGGAGGGTGGTGGCTGAGCCGGTGGTGCATGTTTAGATTGTTGTGGCTGTGCAGTGGAAGTTATAGGAGAAGAAATAACCTTGGGTATTGAGGAAGGTTGCTGCCTCTTTGAAGCCATTTTAAAAAGCACAATTGTCACTTCCCTTTCCCCTCCAGCCAAAAAGGGAGGAGGAGAAAAAAAAAGAAAAAAAGAGTTTTTTTAAAAAGAGATAAACTATAATCATTAAAGTCCAGAGTAAATCCAAAGAATAAGTGGTAAAAGAACAAACAGTTCAAAAGAAAAAATTCTAAGCCAGAAGCAAAAGCAAAAGCAAAAAACAGTCCTTAAAAAGGGAAAGTAAAACAAAAGAAAAAGAGAAAAAAAAAAAACTCCGACACTTTCAAAACGCCATCTTAAATCCTTTCACTAGTATAACAAAGAAAAGGAGGAAAAATAGTAAAAATCAAAAGATAAAAAAATAAACACCTAAAATATAACAAAAAATCCTTAAACTGCTCCGTCCGTTTAAAAATTACTCACCAAAATGCTGTAAACACGGAGATAGAAGCGGCGGTTTCTTTTGCTTCCTAAGAAGCAAAAACAGCTGGGAGGCGGAGATCAGCAAGAGCTCCGAGGGAACACTCCTTTCACCCCCTCTAGAAATAAATCCAGAGGGGGTTCAGGGGTTCTACCTCTACTCTTGCGTTCTCTATCCCTTCCCTTTGCCCGGGAAGGGATTTCCGAGCCGCGGGCCAGCTGATGCGCGCTGCGCTCCGCGGCTCTGACACTTCCCCAGCTGGACGGCTAAAAGCTAGCCGCCATCGCCGTCGCCTCCCACCGGAAGCCCTGGAATCTTATAACAATAGATTTTTCCTGTTTTCAGTTCAGTTTTATTTTTCTGTTATCCCATTCAGTTTATTTTCCCTGGCTAGCCATTTCCTCTTCCAGTTGTTTTTACAGCTTGTGTTCTTCCTTTTCCCATTCTGAAGACCCAGCTAAATTTTACCTACATGTCTGTCTTACATCCTGCCTTTACATCTGCCCACCACAGATCACCCAGGCAGCCCAGCAGCGTCATGGTGGCCATGCCCTCCGCCCGTGCCCCGCAGCATCATCTGTGTGTGACAGGGCGCGAGGGCAGAGTCTTGTCCCTGTTGTTTGGCTGCCATGCCCTTGGCTGTGCTTCTCCGTGAGGACTGTGCTCAGGGGCAACTTTTCTCTGGGGGGGGGCTGCTGGCGAGGAGGAGGGGGCCATAGGGGGAGGTGGGGCTGGGGCGATGGTGCACGTGCCCACAGAGAGGGCTCAGAGTGCCACCTCTGGCACACGTGCCATAGGTTCGCCACCACTGTGCTGGCCCATTCTGTTGTGAGGAACAACAATTCTTTGATGAATAGGAGTGTGTCAGCAGAGTAGAAAGACAGAAAGAATGTGTCTGAGTCAAGTAGGCACATAGAGAAAGGGTGGCCTTGACGTGTCTAGCTCAGAATTAGCCTGGTAAAAAAGTTTCTATGGCAACCTACTGACACGGCTCTTTTTCCAGGATAATGATTAAGACACAGAGGGAGGAGCCACCACAGAGAAGGCCCTTCTTTTTAGTCCCACCAGATGGACCTCCTTAGCAGAGAGGACCCATAACATTCTCTGCCTCCCTGCTTTGGTGGGTCGGGTGGACGTAACTGGGAATAGACAATCCTTCAAATAATCTGGTCCCAGGCCATGCAGGGTTTTAAAGACAACAACCAGCATCCTGAATTGGACCCAGAAGCAAATCAGAAACCAGTACAGTCCCTGCAAGAGGAGTGACACACGTGCAAATCTAGACTTGCTAAAAACCACGTGGGCCAGCGTATTTTGGACCAACAGCAGCTTCTGGATGCCTTTTAAGGGCAGCCCCATGTAGAGGGCCTTGTAGTAGTCAGGACGGAGGGTGTCTGTGCTGTGGGTGACTGTGAGCAGGGCTTGTTGGTCCAGGAATGGGTGTGACTGATGCACAACCTGTAGTTGCTTACAGGGTTAAGGCTTCTATATGCTACAGAGGGAGTCTTTCCAGTGAACCCTGAATAATAAAAGCTGCAATGAGCCTTGATTATCTGCTCTGGGTTTTCATTCTGGACCACTAATTCAGCAAACCTCCACTTACCACATCTCAATAAACTTTTTCAGACAGTGTAAGATAAGTTTTGTCGAGAGGATAAGGACGAGTAGGAAGCCGGCAGAGAAAAGGAAGTTGGCAAAATTTGGTTCCAGCCATGCATTTATTAGCGCCAATGCTACTGGATTTGGAGATCAGATTTCACCGTCTTGAATTAGCTAGTAGAACCACACCTTTTTCGGCTTCATCTTACAACTAAAGTATGTTGCGTGACTACAAGGAGCATCATGCCAACAGTGCTTAACTGAGCAGTGAGATGCGACGTGAATGCAGGTTTCTTTATATCCACCACTGGGTTGCCTTGGAGCCCAGAAGCTGAAAAAAAAAAACAATACTCATCAGTCTCTACCTACATCAGACATGTCAAACACAAGGCCCGGAGGCTGGATGCGGCCTGGAAACAGTGAAAAACCAGCCCCTGCCGTATGGGCCCCACCCCCCGGGTGCATGCTGGGGAGGTGTCCCCCTTTGTGAGGAATGAAGAAATGCACCATCGCCTGGAAGTGGCCAGCAAATGGCCCTTGCCTACTTCACATATCCGGCTTGATGGGCTCTGGGGGAGGGGTTTCGGCAGGCAGCGGGGCGCTCTCTTCACAGCGCCGAGAGGCTGAGCTGGGCAGCGCAAATCCCAAAAAGAAATGTGAGGCTGCCGAGATCCCAGCCTGTCCAGTTTCAGCAGGCAGCGGGGTGCTTTCCTCACAGTGCCAAGAACTGAGCCGGGTGGCGCGAATCTGATGAGAAGTGCAATGCTGCCTCGCCCCCAGCCTGCCCAGTTTCAGCAGGCAGCAAGGTGCAAAGCTGGCGAGCTTCACACCGCCCGGCTCAACCTCTCGGTGCTGTGAGGAGAGCGTCCCGCTGCCTGCCGAAACCGGGCAGGCTGGGGGCTGGGCAGCCTTGCACAGGTAATGTTGACTCTCACACTGCTCGTGGCATCCCCTCCCCCAGAGCCCACCAAGCCATATATGTGAAGTAGGTGAGGGCATGTGAGGGAGGGTCTGAGGGAAGTCCTGCCTTAGTCCTGCCCTGCTGCCCTTTCACCATCCCCCTCCTCCTGGCCTATCCTGGGGGGTCTCCCATCCTATTGCTAAGGAAGCTTTGGATACAAAGCCGGGTCTCCTCCTATGGAGAGGGAATGAACCTCCCTCTGACTCTGCCCTTGTACCCATCATGAGCAACCTGGCTAAGGAGAGCAAGCACAGCAGCAGCAGCCTTGAGGAGGAGGTAAGTGCAGCTGTGCGCCCTCTTGGGGAAGTGGAGCTGGGCTTGGGGCCGCGAGTGCTTGAGGGCCAGGCTGGGCATTTGACCTCTGCTGTCCAGGGCTCCCGGCAGCCCGCACCACCATCCAACCGCCGCCCCCCGCATGGCCTGAGAGGAACAATGAGGCTCCTCCAGTGGACCATGCCTTGGCACTTGCCCTGATCCCACCCCCTTCTGCCAGAGACCCTCAGATCTGTCCCATTCCTGCCCAGGCCCCCACAGGCACCCTTGAAGCGAATGATGTAGAGCTGGCCATGCCCATCCAGTAGGCCACACCCACTCCATCCACGCCCACCCAGTAGGCAGCACCCACCTGGCCACACCTACCCGGCCCCCTGAGGGCAACCACAATGCTGATGCAGTCCTCAATGAAATTGAATTTGACATCCCTGATCTAGATATGTAGATCTAGAGATATAAATGTAGAGATCTAGGTCTACATCTAGATTTAGTCTGGATCTAGATCTTTGTCCTGCCACCAAATCACAATCACAATGGGTTATTTTTAGATTAGGATATGCTGTCGATACGAAATACAAAACCTGTTACTGGCAAATTTACAGCAGGGCATTGGCATGGGGGGAGAGAGTGGATGTTGGAAGCTCAGCATGAGGTCCACGGGGACTTCTAATGGTCAAGGGTGAGGGGAGATTAGGGGTTATATTTCATCTTGACACATCTGCGGCAGAAGAAGTCCTAATGAAGGAGAATCTTTGTAGCTCAGGGTTGAAATGAGGGGTCCTTGGTGCTCTCTGATCTTGCTGGTTTTCTTGCAGATGTTTCATTGCCCAACTAGCTAACATCATCAGGGCTAGTGCCAGCACTGTAGATGTTATCTCGTTTGGGTAACAAGAAACATCTGCAAGAAAACAACCAAGAAGATCTGAAATGGCCCTGCTGCTGTTGATTGATGTGGTTTGTCAGACTTCCTGCCTTTGTGTGACCATCTGTGATTGATCACTTGAGACTGCACTTTGCCCTTGCCAAAGGCACTGAAAATTGTGTTTAGGAGCTCTACTGGTGTATAAATTCCTGTTGCTTGGTTTAGGGTGTCCCTCCATCTGAGCTCCACTCTACCACTCACTTATCATAATATGTAAATTCAACAAGCGGTCTGCCAGGCCTGAGCCAGGTCTTGGGGAGAGGGTGGTAGGCATGAAGTCCTTATGCACAACTTGTCACATACTTGGAATCTGTTTGAAAACTTACTGATTGTCTGCATCGTGTCCATCTACCCACACCAGCCCTCTAGGACCACTCGTGTTCTTCTGTAGTCCAATCCAATAGCTACGCTTATTTCTATTTGCCACTTCATCTATAAAAATCTTCACAAAGGAAAAGTAGATTAGATAGATAGATAGATAGATAGATAGATAGATAGATAGATGAGAGAGGAAGGGAGGGAGGGAGATAGACAGGGAAGGAAATGGGGGAGAGGAAGGAGAGAGACACAGAGAGAGATGATATAAACCAGTGGTTCTCAACCTGTGGGTCGGGACCCCATTTGGGGTCGAACGACCATTTCACGGGGGTCGCCAAACAACGCAGTCCGCCATTTTTTCCCCTTTTCCTTAGCTGTGCTACTCCCTTTTATTCTATTGGCTTTTGAAAGCCAATAGAATAGACTCTCTTGAATAGAGTCTAATTCTATTGGCTTTCAAAAGCCAATAGGAATTGTCCAGGCTGTCTCTGCCCTGCTGAGCCCGCCAAAAGTCCCATTCTGCAAACGGTGCTGCACCAGTTGAGTAGTCCTCGACTTATGACCGGTTGAGTAGTCCTCGACTTACGACCGGTTGGGGGGTCGCGGCATTTAAAAGGTTGAGAACCACTGATATAAACATTATTGGAAATTAAGGTTTAAGGGAGGAACATCTATGGGTATAAAGCAATGGTAAACGGGATCTATGACAACTCTCTGCAATTAATATTTTTAAAAATTATTTTAAATAACTAAAGGATTTGTCGAATTGTTGAATTTTCCCACAGCAACCTTTCCCATGGCAAGTTGGCCATGGCGAGTTGTCATGTGGCAAATTAGCTGTGGCAAGTTGTCCCATTCCAGTACTGGGCCATCATTCCTTCTTCTTCCCTCCCTCCCTCCCTTTCTTCCTTCTTTCTTTCCTCTCCCTTTTCTCTCTTTTTCTTTCTCCTCCCTCCCTCCCTTTCTTCCTCTCCCTTTTTATCCATTTCTCTTTCTTTCCCCTCCCTCCCTCTTCCTTTCCCCCTTTCTCCCTTTCCCCCTTCCTTCCCCCCTCCCTCCCTCCTTTCCCCCCACCCTATATTTTCACAATATGCAGCGCAGCTCCCCTTTTCCTGTGCACCCCAGGAGGCAGGGGCGGGCTCTTCTCATCTATCCTTCCAAAAGAAAATTCCCTCTAAGCCCCTTTCAGCTTCCCAGCAAATTCCCTGCATTCTTCCCTCTTGGGTCCTAACCAGGCCTGATCAAGGATGCCCCCCCCCCCCCCGCCCATGCTCTCTCTTGCCCTTATCACTCCATCGGCCAACACAGAAAACCTTCAGCATCCGTTCCTCCCTTCTGCGTCTCTTACTCTCACTTGCTCTCCTTCTGTTGTCTTGGGGATCCAGGCAGCTTCCCGGCTGCACCCATTTTCAGCCACCAGCAACTGATTTTCAGTTTCGAAAAAAAATTGAGGCTTTTTCATGAAATACCTATTTTAGAAAAATGGTGACATATATGATTGTACTCACTTGTTCTTCACCAAATCTACAAGTAACCAAATCTGCAGCATGCCGTTGTTGACAGTCTTTACGAGCATCCGACCAAGATTTTTTTACAGAGGAAAAGTAATAGAGATTTCTTTCAAAAGATTGCCACTCTGGAAGCATTTTAGTAAGAATTTCTTTGAATCCATAGAGAAAACAAAAATATTACATTATTTAGTGCGAAAATTTTACAAGCATACTCTAATCTTTAAAATGAATTCACGGTTCAAAGTTGATTGTATACTTAGGTTGAAGTACAGTGTTCTTCCTAAAATTTCAGAAAAGTATTTTAAAACAGTTCTCTGTATTTTTTTTATTTATTAAATTTATTTGCTGCTCATCTCGTGACCCAAAGGAGGGTTCCGCGAAAAGGGAAGTGGCAAAGAAACATTACAGAAAATCACATGATGATGAGTCTAACCAGAAAAGAGAAGTGGGATGGATGGCTATTGGGTGGCACCAGAGTGTCAAGGGGTGGGCACACCACTAAGGTATAAAGCCTGCCTCAAAGATCTGGGTGTTGCCACCTGGCCTAACCATCGCACTTAATGACTGCTGTCCATTTGGTCCTTATCGCAATAAGTTGTTGAAATGTAAGTATGGAATTTGTGTGTTAAATTTAAATAAACCTCTGGATCCTAAAGTGAGAATTTTGTTGTGTGTTGTCTCTTGTTTCTCTTTAACAAGTTTTTTTCCCCTGACAGTTTTTGTGCGTTGGCCGGGAAGGGACGAAGCTGAAAGAGGCCTTGTGTTCCACAGGAGCATCTGAGCTCCAGGTTTGGACCATAGGCAATCAGCTTGTGCTCCCTCTCCAAGTACCCAGTCACACTCCACTTTGGACCAGAGGTAAGGAGGTACCCCTTTCTTGGGACCCTCTTTTTTGTGTCATCTCCAGTTTTGGCTGCACGGGAAGATGTGCTTGGGAGATAGCAAGGTTTCTGTGGAAAGATTGTCGTGCCCTTAGGCAAAATGGTCGGGCAAGTCTAGTGGCAGTGGAAACTACCATGACCAGGACCTGAAAGGGAGCTGACATTCCCGGGGACTGATCAGCCCCTTGTAAGTGTTCCAAGGTAGTGCCTTGATTGAGTGTCATACCCTGGTGTTCAAGTGGCCTCCCCCTCGCCACTAACAACTCCATTTAGGTTGTGCAGATTTCTTTTGGTGAGTAATGATGTGTCAGTTTTGTGGCTGCCCCTGTTGGAATGAATGCTGTTGCTTTCATTGCGTTTACTGTGGTCCTGATCATCCAGATTGTGTTGCAAATAATGGTCCCTGCTCTGTGTTTTGTGTGATTGTGCGAAATATAGATTTGTCTATTGTGGACAAAAGTTTCCCAGGATGATGGTTATGATTCTAAGTGAATTTGTATTTGCGTCTCTTTATAGCAGTGGCACCTGGCATAGTGGTAGTGCCTAAGAGTTCTTCATTATTTCCGTTTCTCACTTGCATTAGCTTTGTAGTAGAAATGCCGATCTTTTGTGCCGCCCATTATATCGGTTTATCACTTTCCCTGTCCCTCCTTGTTCTCTTTCTCTTTCTGATATGTGTGCTATTTTTTTCCCCTTCTCCCGTATTTTCCACGCTTGCTTTCCAAATAGATGTTGACCACTGCCTTTCCTGTATATAAGGGCCAGCTATCTTGGCATATACTGACTATGGTGCTACCTGTCCCATAGATAAGGGTCAGCTTGTTTGCTGGGGTGGCACACCTTTTTTGTTTTGTTGCTACACTATGGGACTGGACCTTCTCTATGGATAAGGACTGTCTGCATTGGCAGGGCTCAATATCCCTTTATACCCCTGGATAATTTTCTCTCTTGAATTTTAGATTGCTTATTCTACAGTCTTAGGCTTCAGGATCGTGGACTTCATTAACTTACTAAGTTCTGCTTCTAGCTCTTCGATCTTTAGGGTCCAATTGAACAGCTCCAATGTTAAGAGATGAACCGCAGCAAGGATCTCCAAGTCTAAAAACATGCGGCAATTCAAGCCAAGAGATGTGAAATAAAAATCTACAATAAGTATCAAATCATGTCCCAATTCTTTTAGATTCTGAGAGATTAAGGAGACTGTGAGAGAATATGGTGAAATCCTGGAAGATTTTGAATGAACAACAGTCAACCTACATGAGATTTATGAAATCCTCATCCATAATTATGTATAAAAGTTTAGACATTTGAGGATGTTCTGTTCAACAGGCAGATTGGGGTGGGAGCTGACCTCAGAAAACGTTGAATTTATTATGTTGCCAGCTCATACAGCGGGGGGGGGGGGGTTTGCTTCCGTGCATTCCTGCATCCTCTCTTGAGCCAGGGCCACGTGCAACAGGAGGTTGCCTTGGTAGGAAGCCTGTCAATTGGACATCTCAACTTGCCCAGAATATCCTAAGCAGGCTTGAAGTAAAGTGGCCCTGGTTTGCTCTTTTGGCAGACTAGCAAATGTGTGTCCAAACCTGTTGCTGACCCCACTAACAAGGAAACCTGCCTGTGGCACAGGTGCTATTAAGACTGGTAACCGAGTTGCACCTTCTCCAGCCTGCTCTTAAAAGCTGTCCCGTTTTATTGCAGCCAAGCAGCTGTTTCTGAACCTGCTGGCTCCTTGCTTACCAGTTTTGCCTTCTAAACTTGGATCGTAATCCACAGCAAATTGCCGAATTGAAGCCACTGCTTTTATATGCTTCTCCTTCCTATTTACTTCAGCTTTGTCTATAGAAGAGAAAGGAGAAGAAGTAGAGTGTAAATTTCCCCTCCCAATAGTCATAATTGAATATACTATTCCCACCATTTGGGTTTACATTCAATTTGCTTTCGTATGTTTCCTGATCTTTGTCAGTCTCTTTTCACATTCAGCTTAACTTGATACCTACACCTGAGCTCTCTTTGGAGATTCTCAGTCATCCAGGTCATCGTTGTCCCAAAGGTGCTTTTCCCCAAAAGGTAACTGGACTTTCTTGGTGTTTTCTTTGAAATGTTTCGCTTCTCGTTCTCTTTTTCAGAACTGAAGAAGCTCCTTGCTCTTCTGGTGGCCTCAACCATCATTTCTTTATGCTGTTCTCGTGTCTCTTTGATGTTGTCTCTCCATCTTCTTTGGGGTCTCCGCTGTGTTCTTTGATCTTCTCCTCTTTTTGTATATGTCTCATACAGTACGGAATCCCACGACATCCTCTCCAAGTGAGCAAACCACTTTATTTGCTGTTTTCTATGTAGTTTAAGATTGGTTCTATGCCAACTGTTTCCCTTATGATATTATTAGTCACCTGAGTTAGGATGCCTTTCAAAAGAGAAATTGTGTCATTCTAGTTGGTACAAGCATCCGAGGATTTGGGATGTTGATTTCAAGGAAGTTGAAAAGAATTTACTAAAATATCACCAAAGCTATTTTCCCGATGAAGGTTTCCCGATTGTGAAAGAGAGAGACTGAATTGTTCCCTGGCCTAATTCGTTGAAATCTGTGAGTGGTGACAATAAAGGAGAATATTTGTAGCTCAGGGTTGAAATGAGGGGTCCTTGGTGCTCTCTGGGTTGTTTCCTTGGAGACATTTCATGACCTAACTAGGGAACTTCATCAGTGCTAGTAAGGAGTTGGGTCTGCTCTCAATTTATACTCAAGCCACTAGAATACAGAGTCTTTTGCATGTGGGGAGAGAAATCAGTGCTCCTGTTGAAACAAATTCCAAGGGACCTTCAAATAAAGCCTTTATCGATCTCTTGTAAGAAGACAACTTACACAGATAGGTTGCAATTACAGCAAGAATGAAGGAGATGAAAACCAGTATTTTAGTTCTTCGTTTGGCTTTATCTGGATCCACGAACTCACCCAATCGCTGGAAAATGGGCTTTTTTGCTGGAAGAAGACAAATGGGTAGCTTAATCAATTGTGAGGCTGACCATTCCTTTTCCCCAACCCCTGCTCTTTCCTGGAAGGTGGTCTCATGCATAACAGGCAAAGGACCCCTCCCTTTGCCTATTGGCCCAAGAACGGTTTTGCATCCCTCAACAGAGACGGAAATGTTGAGCAACTTTCTAAGCCTGTGCGGTGAGAACTCTACTTTTGCCACAGTTCATATCGGCAGCCTTGGAAGGGAAGACATCACATTTGGCATTTGTTTTTAACTTAAGTCAGGTTAAAGGGGGGGAGGAGCTGCTCTAGACGGTTTCAGAAGGTCAAAAGAAGATGCTCCTTAAAAGAGGTCTCCTTTTGACTGGACTCCCCTATGTTTTCTTGTGGCCTGTCAAGGATCTAAGAAGGGGGAGGGGGCATTTACAGATAGAGACGGAGGAGCACCCATTGCAACTTCCCCTTCTCTACCTGTAAATGCTCCCTCCCGCTTCCTAGACCTTTCCTTTACTCTTTTTTTCCTACTTATTTACATGGGAAGAGGAGGTGGAAATAGGGAGGAGGGGAAGAAGAGGAAGCGGAAGGAGAAGAAGGAATTCTCTAGATTTAAACTCAATGGAGGTTATGCTATGGAAAGGAGGCAGCATCTGCAACGCTTTATAGAAAGAGGGGATAAATAAGAGTATAAGCAACCTACGTCCAGCTTTGACAGGTGGTTTGGGAGGTGGTTTGGGAGGTGCTTTGGGTGCCATTTTATCTTCTTAGTCCATTCATCCTGCATTGGAATTTATAGAATATGACACAGGTTATTTATTTATTTAAAAAAACTATATTCAGAAATGTAATATACTTCTTCCTCTGGAGTTTAATCTTTTATTAAAAACCAAGAATCCAGACCTCTGAGGAATCCAGACCTCTGCATGGACCACCCAACCTTTGACAGCTAGGTCCTCAGTCTGCAAAGTATCTTAACTGGCCTTGGAGTGATTCTTGAGCTAGTTCACTCTGGCTGATTTCTGACCGTAGAGCCTTTCCTGCAAAATCATAACTTTCCCTCCTGTTATCTAGGATGTGAAAAGGAGAATGACTGCTAGGACCTCCATCTTCTTTCTCCTTGATCCAAATGGGAGAAAATGTGCAGGATCCTTAGACCACTACAAGGAAATTGAGCCCTGAAACCTTCGTAGAAATCAGCGGAAGGATTCTCAAACGATGTGAGGGTTAGTAAACTACATCTGAAGCCTTTCCACAATTTGTCTGCGATATCCCCACCCATCTTGCAAGTTCTCTGCATGACATCTGCACGCACCCAGACGCCCAATCAATAAGGCAACTTTTAGATGTGCTTACTAGTTCAGAATAAAGGAAGGAGATGACACGGAGGACATCCTGGTTGCTACCCAAAGATTGAAATCAGACTGCCACTTGTCCAGTGCAATGACCAAGCAGAGCTTTGTGAGTCAGAGCCTCTGACCTCACTTATTGTACCATATTACATCACAATGGCTTAGTCAATCAATCATGTCAGCTCAGCAGCCACATGTGAAGATGAATGCTCCAGGAATGCTGCTCACCCCACCTCATTCGTACCTTCCTGGATGGGCTCAGAATTTCTCTCAGCCAAACTGGCAGCTGTTTTTCTGATGATGTCAAACATTCCAAAATCCCTATTCCAGTTCCCCCCTTGGCCTTCTTTGAGTTGATGATGTTGCTGTCTAGCTGCAATGACGGCAGTTGCTCTTGGATTCTTTGTTACGTGGGGAATCCAGCTGTCATAGTTCTGATAGACGAGACCAAACAAATCAGAACTCCGAGGCTAGAGATTTCCTCAAAGAACATGTTTATTGGTTACATAGTATCAGCACGGTCCAAAGTGAAACCAAGTCTGCAATCCCCTTCCAAAGAGAAACACTACTACAAAGTTAAATCTCCCACCCCATGGCTATGCAATCAGCTACTTTTCCCAATAGAACAGCTTGGTGGGATTTCTAACCAAATGCTCACATGCCCCACCTAATTGACAGAAATGAACCTGGCTCCCATGGGATAGTGAATTGTTTAGACTAGCAAAAATCCTCGGAACCCCCTTCCATTCTTGTGGCAACCTAGGATGAGCAAGATGGCTGCTGCCAGGTTCGTTGTAGAGTTGACACCAGCAGCAGGTAGAAGCCGTTCTATGAATTTCTCTAGAGGTGCCACAAAGGACAGCGATGGGGGATGGCTGTAATGTAAGAATCAGCCCTATGGAACCATGAATGAATTTTCCTTGAAGGATGAGCTTCCGAGAGAGTTGCCCACATGTTGGCTTTGACCAGACCAGTCTACCAGTGCTTGGATGTACCAGCAGTAGTATTTTCTGCATCTACTTTTGCTTTTCTCCTTGACAGTTTCCTATCAAGAATTCTGATTTGAACAAGATCAAATTCTGCTGTTTGAAGTGGTTAATGGTTTTGATCATCATGGAATTCTTCATCAAAATCTGTATTTTTTTTAAAAAAAAGATATACAGTATATGTGAACCTGAAAGAGAAGCCTGATCTGCTGAGATAAGACGTTCATAGCATTGCTTAATTTGTCATGGGTGGAGTTGTACAATTGGACGTCATACTTCACACACAACAACGGATAACCTCAACCAACAGCCTCATGTAGATGTTGAATAGGAATCAACATAGCAGTTGCTGGGGGTGGGATCTCTCCTCTCCAAACACCACTGACTGTTATCAGGATTAGAACAGGCTACCTGATGAGGTGACAATTTTTTCCATGCAATCCTTTCCGACTGTTGACGTTTCTCTGGACCAGGCCTCTCCACGTCTTCCGATCTTGCACTACTTCTCTGAACTGCTCTGTGCTCTGGCTGGTGTCAGCTTTGAGGGCCTCCACCACCGTGTTCTTTGGCAGCCTGGTTTCCTTTTACTGGTAACTCTCCCAAAGTTAATTGCTTTCTCCAGTGAATTCCCATTCATGGCACAGCCAGAGTAGGTGAGATGCCGTTTTGTGACTTTTGGGCTACCTGACACTACAGCATATGCCCAGCTGCAAGCAAGAGGTTGGGTGTATTGCAAAGTGCATCAGAAAAAAGACCCATGTCTTGTCTTCTTAGTTGCTCATAGCTGCTCCGAACTTCAAGGGGTTCACTTAACTCACCTAAATTATGCTGCAGCTCCGGAACCCCAGAAGCAAATACCAGCAAGGATATTGTTCCAGACTCCCAGGAAGAGAGCAGAAGAGAAAAGAAATGTGAAGCTGGGAAGAACTCCAAAGAGCAACTTTAATAGACTGTGAGGCAGTGGGTCACATAGCAGTTTAATTTTGGTGTTTAGGCTCCTGCAAGTTTACAATTTGGTTTGTTTTATTGTATTCTTCCCCTTTATGGATTACTGCTTTGTCGTGGTGAAGGGGCTTGTGTAACTCAATGAAGCTATAAGCTATGCCGTGCAGGGCCACCCAAGATGGACAGGTCATAGCAGAGAATTCTGACAAAATGTGATCCACTGGAGAAGGAAATGGCAAACCACTCCAGTATCTTTGCCATGAAAACCCCATGGACAGTACTAAAAGGCAAAAAGATATGACGCTGGAAGATGAGCCCCTCAGGACAGAAGGTGTCCAATATGCTACTGGGGAAGAGCAGAGGGCTAGTACTAGTAGCGCCAGAAAGAATGAAGCGACTGGGCCAAAGCCGAAAGGACGCTCAGCTATGGATATATCTGGTGATGAAAGGAAAGTCCGATGCTGTAAAAAAATTTTCTCCATAGGAACCTGGAATGTAAGATCCATGAATCAAGGCAAGCTAGACATAGTCAAAAAAGAGATGACAAGACTGAACATCGACATCTTAGGAATCAGCGAACTAAAATGGATAGGAATGGGTGAATTTAACTCAGATGACCATCAGGTATACTACTGTGGGCAAGAATCCCTCAGAAGAAATGGAGTAGCCTTCATAGTCAATAAAAGAATAGGAAAAGCAATACTGGGATACAATCCCCAAAATGACAGAATGATCTCAATTCGAATCCAAGGCAAAACATTCAATATCACAGTAGTCCAAATCTATGCCCCAACCACTGGTGCTGAAGAGGATGAAATTGACCGGTTCTGTGAAGCCCTACAGCACCTTATAGAATTAACACCCAAAAATGATGTCCTTATCATCATGGGGGATTGGAATGCTAAGGTAGGAAGCCAAAAGATAACCGGAATAACAGGCAAGTTTGGCCTTGGAGTACAAACTGAAGCAGGGCACAGACTAATAGAATTTTGTCAAGAGAATACGATGGTCATAACAAACACTCTTTTCCAACAACCCAAGAGACGGCTCTACACATGGACATCACCAGACGGTCAACATAGAAATCAGATTGATATGTGCTCTGCAGCCAAAGATGGAGAAGCTCTATATAGTCAGTAAAAACAAGACCAGGAGCTGACTGTGGCTCAGATCATGAGCTTCTTGTTGCAAAATTTAGGCTTAAATTAAAAAAAAGTAGGGAAAAGCACTAGGCCACTCAGGTATGAACTAAATCATATTCCTGATGAATATACAGTAGAGGTGACAAATAGATTTAAGGAACTGGATCTGATAGATAGAGTGCCTGAAGAACTATGGATGGAAGTTCGCAACATTGTACAAGAGGTAGCAACTAAAACCATCCCAAAGAAAAAGAAATGCAAGAAAGCAAAATGGCTGTCTGAGGAAGCTTTGCAAATAGCTGAGGAAAGAAGGAAAGTGAAAGGCAAAGGAGAAAGAGAAAGATACACCCAATTGAATGCAGAATTCCAGAGAGTAGCTAGAAGAGATAAGAATGCCTTCTTAAATGAACAGTGCAAAGAAATAGAAGAAAACAACAGAATAGGGAGGATCAGAGATCTCTTCAAGAAACTTGGAGATATGAAGGGAACGTTTCATGCAAAGATGGGCATGATAAAGGACCAAAATGTCAGGGACCTAACAGAGGCAGAAGAGATTAAGAAGAGATGGCAAAACTACACAGAAGAACCTATACAAGAATGAGCTTAACGTCCCAGATAACCACAATGAGATGGTCACTGACCTCGAACTAGACATCCTAGAATGTGAAGTGAAATGGGCCTTAGAAAATCTGAGCAACAACATTATTGTATTCTTATTCTTTCTTTACTTTCTGTCTTCCAGAAAAGCAGTGGCTCAGGAAGAACTGGTGCTTATGCTAGACAATGTGGTCTGTTTGCAATTGCCCAGGTGTAGGATGCAACAGGCAGTGGACTGGCTGCCTGTCAAAAGCTCTTATTTAACCTTAATCCATTCCATAATTCCACCTGAGCAACCAAGGGAACGAATTAGGATTCTGTGTTCAAAACATGCTTTGTAGGGGTGGCTGGCCAACTTCTGGAGGTATCAGACTATTTCTCAGCTTCCCCCAGTGCATTAATTTTCTCTGTTGAGTCCACTCCCTACAAACACCAGAGGACCAACCAAGCATTTTACAGGCTGGAAACCAAGGGCAATCTTTTTTTTTTTTTTTTGCATCTCCCGTGTTCTTTTTCTCATCATTCTCTTGGTCTGTAGCTCTACATCCTGTACTTTCTCTGTCTTGTCACGTAAAATTTGTTCTACATCAGTCTTCCTTCACATCATTTAGACATAGTCAATCCATAGAAGCAGGCTTCATTTTTAACAGTGTTGATATTATAGTTACTAATTTCTGTCTTCATTCTTCAAAGATCTCCTTTAATATTTCCAATATCTCCAAAGCGCCTGAGGGCAGGACAAGAAGCAACAGATGGAAACTAATCAAGAAGAGAAGCAACCTAGAACTAAGGAGAAACTTCCTGACAGTTAGAACAATTAACCAGTGGAACAACCTGCCTCCAGAAGCGGTGAATGCTCCAACACTGGAAGTTTTTAAGAAGAGATTGGATAGCCATCTGTACGAAATGGTGTAGGGTTTCCTGCCTGAGCAGGGGGTTGGACTAGATGACCTCCAAGATCCCTTCCAACTTTATTATTATTATTATTTTGTATCATTCTGTAAATCCCAGTATTAATGGATATCAGGCTGCTATTTTTTTTTTTTTACTGCTTAATATGTTTAGTCCCCTTCCAGTTTCTAAAATCACACTTATCTTTGGCTCTGACTTGCAATAACCAGGACAGTCAAAATAAATAATAAAAATGACTATTTTTATACAGTAGTACAAAATTTTATAATAAAAAACAGTATTCCAAATTCAACAGGACCCTCAATCTGTTTATAATTTTCTTAGATCAAAATCTTAACTTTTGGCTATTTGTTTTCAATTCTTTAAGTCCTTAAGCTTGTAATTATTTTTTTTTCATCGAAGATAAAACCACCCAATGAAGACTTTTCAAACTTGCCATTCAGAAGACCTCTAGTACGTTTGTCATGGTTAATAAGCAATTTCCCAAAATGATTAGAAAGCAAGGTTTGTGAACCTAGTATCCTGTAAAAGGGTCCACTGAGGTTGCAAGAAAGAGGAATACCACATTTTATTGACTTAATTTGCGTGCCACTGAATCCACATAAACTCTTGGTGATTTACATATTTTGTTTTCTTAAAGTGATGCAGTTCCTCTA